AAGGTGGGAGGATCACTTAGGCCAGGGGTCTGAGACCAGCCTGAGCCACATAGCAAGACCCTGTTTCTATAGAAAATTTAAAAACGAGCTAGGTGTGGTGGCATGTGGTGCAGTGACTGTGATGACTCCACTGCATTGAGCTCTAGCCCAGGCAGCAAACAACTAATGCTATTTAAACAAACCTCAAACTAATGCTATTTAATGCCCACAGTACATCGAATAGTAGTGTGCCACTTTCTTGGAATTGTGTTATTTTAAAAAACACTACCATTGAAACGCTATTGTTGTGACACCCTTTCCTCTCCTTCACCCCAAATATTTAAAAATCCCATCTATGTGACACTGGTAGGTCAGTCAAAGATCTGGAATTGGGGCCAGGGGTGGTGGCTCACACCTATAATCCTAGCACTCTGGGAAGCTGAGGCAGAGTGCTTAAGCTCACAAGTTCAAGACCAGCCTGAGCAAGAGCAAGACCATGTCTCAAAAAAATATAGCCGAGCGTTGTAGCAGGCACCTGTAATCCCAGCAACTTGGGAGGCTGAAGCAATAGGATGGCTTGAGCCCAAGAGTTTGAGGTTGCTGTAAGCAATAACGGCACTCTGTCTCAAAAAAAAAGAAATCTGGAGTTGACTGGACATAGCATTTAAACTAGAGTTGCAGGCTATTTGATCTGTCTTTTCCTATATGTAGCAAGGAACAAAATTTCCCTTGAAAAAGGATGCCTTCCTTATACCAGGGTGAGAAAATAACCTTTATCACCAGCTACTGGGAATCATTGTTGCAATGAACCTGCACAAATAAACTTAAGAGATCTTTACCTTCCACTAGCTCTAATCCCCACCCATCACCCTGACTGCCTCCTAGTGGCTTCCCTGCAATTTACTGCCCCTAGGCCAGATCCCTTTGTCCTACCATCTCTTCACAAATTTATCATTCCTTGTTTCTAAATGAAGTATAAAAACTTTGTTGTGGCCATTTTGGGGGATCTTCGCTCTCTTGTGAGGGTCCCTTGTACACGTAAAAATAAAACTTGCATGCTTTTCTC